CTTCATATTTTTGGAATCTTTTTTCTTTTTTCTTTTTTGGTTGGGTATTTTTTGTTTCTTTGTATTTCAAATCTTTGACTTGATTCTTGGGATCCTCTTGTCTGCTGTTGGATCTCTGTATATTATTCTTTATTTCAGTCAGTGTATGCTTAATTTCTAGTTGGTCCTTTTTCATATCCTCGAGGGTCTCACTAGATTTCTTGAGGGTCTCACTAAATTTATCGGCGGTTTCCATAAAATTCTTGAGAAACCTTATAAACGTGGTTTTGAACTCTATATCCAGTCATTTGCTTTCCTCCATTTCTGTCATTTGTGACCTGTTTCTTTGTCTCTGCATTTTTTATGCTTCCCTGTGTTGGTAGAGTGGTTTTGTGTGCTAGGTGTCCTGTAGGGCCCAGTGGCTCAGCCTCCCCCATTACCTGAGGTGGACACTCTTGGTGCAACCCCTTGTGGGCTTTGTGCACAGTCTTGTTGTAGTTATGCCTTGATTGTTGTAGGATCACTGGGAGGAATTGACCTCCAGGCCAATTGGCAGTGAGAATCGGCTGTGTCTGCAGTGGGAGAACTTCTGTGCTGAAGACACCCTTCTGGGGCAAGACTTGCTTCAGTGGGGCTTTGGTGCTCACTGAGTCTGCCCCCTGGGTGTGTCCCTTATGGATCTGAGGAGTTGTAATCGGGATGGTCCCCCTCTGACCACTGGGTACACTGGCTCTTGGAGGTTACCCAGCAGGAGCTATGAAGAGAACTGCAGATTCCCCTTCCTTTTTTGGAGTTTGGAGGGGCCCTGATGAGGCCCAGCTGTGAAGCAATGCAAGCTGCTGTGGGGCCTTGGGCCTTCTCTTGGAAGTTCTGGGTCTGTGGCCCAGCTGCAGTTTGTTAGGTAATTTTCAGGTTACAAAGGGCCAGGGCATTCATATGCAAAAGCCTCTGCTGCAGCCTGGGTGGGGCGGGGTCTCAGGGAATCAAAGGGCAGAGCAAGGAACTATGGTGGATTCTCAGCCCTGCCCTAAGGGGCCTCGCACATCTCAGTGTCCTGATAATTTAATTGCTGTAGGCACCTCTGAGGGAAAGCTGCCCTCGAGTTCCGAGTTCCGAGTTCTGCCTGCTGCCAGACAGTCCAGTTTCTCCCCGTATGAGTCCTGGGTCCCCAGAGACTTCCCGGAACCAGAGTTCAGAGCAGTTGGGAGCTTGTGACTCCTTCCCGATTCAAAAAGACAGCCGTGTCCTCAGGTACCAGCCCCTTTCCGCGCACTCTCGAGCCTCCGTACCTTTGCACTTTACTTCCGCAGCTCCTGACCCTCAATGTGCTTTTCTCTTTCCTTCTAGTTGTAGAATTTCCACTCCGCCAGCCTTCCTGTAAGTTCTGGATGATGTCCGTTTTGTCTTTTTATTGTGTTTTGAAGTTGTTGCAGGAGGCAGCAATTTCAGTGTTTCCCTATGCTGCCATCTTAGTTTCTCCTCTCCTTTGTTTTTCTTGATTTGGTTTTATAACTTAAGGTTTCTAGAAAAAAATATTTTTTAAAAGTATTGTGCACATGTTTTCAAGGCATTTGCTAAGTGCTTTAAATGCATTAGCTAATTTAGTTTTTACTCCCCTGTGAAAGTAGGTACTATTGGTCCATTTTGTAATAGAGGAAGCAAAAGTGCAGAGAAGGTAAATCACTTGTCTAAGACCATGCAGCTCGGTAAGTTTTCAATTGATAACTTCAATTCATCATCTCAAGTACATTTTCCCCATGAATATGTCTGTTGCTACAATACCATCAAGCCTGAAAAATGTTGTTGCATTGGCATTTCATCAGCATCTCATGCCATTCAAAATAACATAGAATATTGTTCCTGAGGAAGAAATGCTTTCATGGAATTTAGCACAGTTCCTCTGGCTATTGCCAGCAGTCATAAAAATTAGAACTAAGATGGGCAAATGTTGATGTTTTTAACTTGTTAAACATTCTGGTCATAAAGATATAGTATCAGAAAAGAGCATAGTTATCTAATCCAACACCAACATTTCATAGGCAACGACACAGGTCCAGCTGGTGGGAGTAAGTAGAATAGGATTTCATTGGAACAAATCCAGGACCAGAACCCACACTTCTTGATAACTCATTAGGTTATAGTTGATTAAAGACCACATATCAGCCAAGGTCTGTAGCGAGAAAGAAATCAATGGGGACTACTACAGTTGTGAAGGATAATTGCTGGTTAATTTAAAGAAAGACGGTATTGCTTGTATTGAAGAATGGTAGCAGCACAATCAGTATTGCCCTGATTCCTGTCCCTACCACTCTTAGAAAGTCACCTGGGGAGCTTTGAAAGAAACACCCAGGCCAACCCCAGGTGGTCTGATTCTCTGGATCAAGATCAAAAGTTTCCCAAGTGATTATAATAGCAGGTAAGGTTAAAGACAACTGCAGTGTTGCCTGCACCTTCAAGATGTGAAATGGAAGATTGATTCAGATGTGTCCTATAACTAATTCTTTTGTATGATGTTAGAGTTTGGGCTAGTTGTTCTTAGTTTGATAACTGTATCTTAAAAGAAATACAGGCAATTTTCTGTTATTACTTTCCTCCTTGCTCACTCTCAGATTGTTTAGTTGTGAAATCACTGAAATTTTGTTAATTCTGAAGTTTTATTTTAGTATTTTTGAAATATTGATGAGTCTTAAAATTTATGTCAGTGAAACTAGGCAGCCACGAGGTAGTAGTGAATTATGACATGATGGAATACATCTCTTTGTAGAAGATAGCTATTTGTATTGCTAACACTATACGTTGTTGAATTTGAGCTTTAATTGCTGCTTAAAGTGTTTTCAGATAACACTGGAATGCATCATTGAAACAGTTAATTGTATTCAACACAATTTATTGTGAACATTTATTCAAGTAAGTGCCAGGGAACATTTATTCAAATAAGTTAGGTGACTGTAGCACTCTGAAAGCCAGGGAAGGTCACAGAATAGGTTCTAAGCTGAGAAAAAACTGATTTAATAAACTCATGTCATGAAGGACTATCATTGAAGGGCAACTGTAGAAACTTCCAACTGACTCTCAAAAGAACTTATTTAACTTCTAACAATTCATAATTCAGGTAAGAAAAAATGAAACTGAGTAGAATCAAATAGAATGTAGACAAAATCCTGGGACTATTGGGTATATTTTAAAGTTCTGAAAGAGGCTAAGAAAATTAATGTGATGCTCTATGTAACTGTCATTGGCTCAGAGTGATTCAGAATTTGGACTTAATGAAAGAGGGCTTGGGGAATTTAGAGTTTTTCATGTTATGTCAAGGTCAGTGAAGTAATTTTCCTCTGCAGTAAGCTAGCGAAATCAGTATTATTAAAATCAAATCAGCAATTTTTAGAGTTTTTGTTAGAAAAGATGTTCTAATGTGATACTGAGAAATTTTTAGTAGGTTTAACTTTTGTGGGTTTTGTAAATTTACAAATTAGGTAATTGTGTTTGTACGTTGTCTCTGTGTGTATAATTCCCCTTCATAATCAATTACACTGAAATAAACCTGTTAAAGGGTTACCTTAGAGTTCTTACCTGCTTGAATGATGGTTATACTTGAGTGTAATCTCACTTATTAAAAATGCCTTTATGAGGGTGAGGTGAGACTCTGGAAAGCTGAAACCCTTCTAGCCCTTAAGCTAAAGGTCACAGGGCATTGGATATGCCATCCCAATGCTCTTGGCACCATTTTTTAACATGATGTAGGGAACTTCAGTTAGAGGAGTTTATCCTTTGGTTTGGGCATGACTTAATCATTATAGATTGCTATTTTAGAAAAATATTTTCTCTGCGTTATGACACAGGTGGAGAATCTGATGTTTTCTTTAAATGACTGTCTCCCAGTGCTTCAGAATACTTACTGCTCTTTAAGTCGAGTGGATGTTGGGAAGATGAATGTAGAGGGTTGGGGTTTAAAAAAAAAAAAATATATATATATATATATATATATATATATATATACACACTAGATCTACTAAAAAGTAACAGTATCATCCATCTTTCATTTTGTAAGAATCCATGACTTTAAATTGTTTCTCTTCTGTGTGAACTTTTCCAATTTTCTAATAGTGCAGACTTAAAATGAATGATTTGGTATATTTTAAGGCTGATGCTTCCTAACCAATTTACTAGCCAAGGAATCTGGCTACCGCTTTTCACACACAAATGTAAGCGTTCCATTAAATGACACTAATTTTGAGAGGCAAGTGGTGGCTACATTTCCTAGACCAATTCTGCCTACCTTTGGGGAAGTAGGTACTCCACAGAATCAGATTACATACATATTGTGTCTGTTGTACATTTTTCTCTTTTTTTTTTTTTTTTTTTTTTATATATTTTATTGATTTTTCACAGAGAGGAAGGGAGAGAGACAGAGAGCCAGAAACATCGATGAGAGAGAAACATCGATCAGCCGCCTCCTGCACATCCCCCACTGGGGATGCGCCCGCAACCCAGGCACATGCCCCCGACCGGAATCGAACCCGGGACCCTCCAGTCCGCAGGCCGACGCTCCATCCACTGAGCCAAACCGGCCTCGGCATTTTTCTCTTTTTTAAAAAAAAAAAAAAAAAAAAAAAAAAAATCTTATTGTTAAAAGTAAAAGATGTCCCCTTTGTGTTTATTGTTTTTTTCCCATTGACCACCTCCTCCCCACACCCACCCTTCGCCACCCTGTTGTCTGTGTCCATGGGCTATGCACTTATATGCATATAAATTCCCTGGTTAATCTCTACCCCCTGTTGTTGTAAATTATTTATGCCAGCACTGGGTCCAAGTTGTCCTTAAAAGTGAAAACTGTAAATACTTTCTATACTTACAGTTACATCACTGTCCCATTTAATACATGTTTGCAGACACTAGGCTTTATCTGTGAGATGCTCTATTTTTATTTGTAAAATATGAATTAAACAATATTAAGAGTTCATTTAAATCCATCTTAGCACAGAATTTGCCTACAAATCTCTACAAACATACTTAACAGTTGATTTAGAAATGTAAACATTTATTTAAAAGTCGCTATCAAGTTATAAAAGAATACTTGCTTAAAAACATAAAAATAGTATAATTCCTTTTAAACAGATAATATTTTCCCTACAATTGGCTTTCATTGAAATATATTATCTTTTAAAAAACCCAGTATCTTTTCATTGTTGAGCATCGCAGGCTTTCCGAATTATTAGGATGCCTTAGACACTGGCTATTTTACTAGAATAATGACTTAGGCTGCTTTGTACAGTCATTGTGTTTAGGATTTGGGACAGCAGGTCTTCTTCTTTCCTTTTCAGTAATTGGTAAGTCCCGTCGTCGGTGCCGCAGCTGATCCTTCTTCAATTCCAGAGGCTTCCTCTGGTGCCTGCGGCCCCTGACAGTGGTACTTCACTTTAAGGGGTTTGCTCGGGTGCCAGACCAAGTGAATACGACAGGGAATGATTTCCTAGGAAATAAGGATTTTAAAACATTAAGAGCTGCAAAAAATTCTGGTAAAAACAAGTCTATGTATAATGTTGTGTTTTACCTGTGTTGAGAATTCATGGAGTAGGACCGTATAGTCAAAATCAATGGCATCCTCATCTGTTTTCTAGAGAAAGGAAAGAAGAGTTAGTGTAACCAACAGGTAGGTATAGATTAGCTCAGAATTTGGAAGGCTTCTCTTATAAACCGGGTGATGCCTGGACTCTCCTTCTGTCTCTTGGATTTTAGCCATGTTTCCCTTGGGTAGGATCCTGCATCAAGATACGGAAGTCATGGATTCTTATTGTTTGGTCATTGAGTTCTATGAGAATCTATTGACTGTCTATCACTTTTTCTCTAATATTTATGGTTTTTGATGGAGGCTAAGGTCGGTGGGGATAGGGAGAATCTTTTGGCAACCTCGGGAATTAGGTACTGTATATGCACCTCAAGCTGATATGTTAGCCCTGATGTGCCAGGCAATAAGACAAGGGGCAGAGCAGCCAGTCCTTTGAGGCTGCCACATGGGCCAGGTTCTGTGCTAAGCACTGGAGTCAGGTTTTCATGTAATTCTGACTGCCTTACAAGAGTACGTGTTATGAGCCTCGTTTTACAAGGGAGATAGCTTGAGGTTGCAGCTAGTAAATGGCAAATGGGGATTCAAGCCCAGATCTACCGACTCCACTGTCCGCACTGCCTCTTCAACCAGTGCACTGCTTATTGTAAAGTGGCAGGCAATCTTCCTCACCTCTTATTCACTTGATTTCTGTAAGTTTTACTAGTAACTAAACCAATTTCCTATTTTATTTTTGACACTTCCTGGTTTTTTGGTGTGTTTTTTTTTGGTGGCGGTGGGAGTAGAAGCTAGGATCCTTATCTATCGTAAAAATGGAAGGGAAGAAAATAAAATAAATTCAACTTGGATTATAATTTTTTAAAATATATTTTTATTGATTTCAGAGAGGAAGGGAGAGGGAGAGAGATAGAGACATCAATGATAAGAGCAAATCATTGATTGGCTGCCTCCTGCATGTCCCCCACTGAGGATTGAGCTTGCAACCCGGGCATGTGCCCTGACTGGAATCGTGACCTGGTTCATAGGTCCACACTCAACCACTGAGGCACACTGGCCGGGCCATAGTTTTAATTTTATAATTTCAATCTACTAGGTTTTATTGAGACTATTGTAAAAAAGCAAAGTCAAACAAAAGGATTTGATATTAAATTTTGCTTAAAATGATGGAGATTTTTACAAACCATGAACTTTCCAACAGGTGGGGAGGGTGCTAGAGGGAGAGGAAATGAGAGGGCCTGGTTTGATCAGAAATTGACTGTTTTTCTGTGTGTCTGCATCATGGGTAGATTTCCTTCCCTCCTGCCTGGCAGTGAACATGCAAATAGTCAAAGCAAGTATCGGAGGCACAGGCTGTACAGTCAGAGAACTCATGAGAGGATACCCAGTGTCGCTTTTATAAAAAAACGGTTTCTGGAGACCCCAGTGGTCAGTTTGGCATTGTTGGGTTTAAGGGTGTAGGTAGCCTTGCTTGACCTTCATCTGGTAACTACCTTGACCTTGAAAGGAAATGGTGGCCTCAAGATGGCCCATACCAGCAGGCCACTGCGTTGTATGACTTGTCTCAAGCTTTTGTGCTGCCCGTACTATTTCTCAAGGCCTCTCTATTAACCATGTATTCTTCTATCATAAAAAAAAAAATTGGTTTTCCTTATAAACAACATGTTTTTCAGGTCAATGCCTTCTTATTCTGTTTCTGCAAACAGCATTTCTGAATCATGGCTGTCTACAGATTTGAGGCAAAAAACAACAACAGGCAAGTCTGGAAACTGGGATTCCAACTCCATTTGACAAATTATTCTGCTACAGTGTTACCCATTTTTTCATACAAAAAAATGGATTATTATAATGCTTGGAAAGCAGGTACCACTTTATGAAGACCCTCCTCAGTGAAGTCACTGAAACAGACCCTTGCATTTCTGTTTTATGGGTTATTCCTCCTCCAGGTGGAAACACCCTTAAACCAAACCAAACAGCGGGGCTTTTACAGAACTACAGAGGGGACAGTGTACACCCCAGCTGGCAAGGTATTCCAGGGTTAAACTGTCCTCGCCGAATGGAGCTCTGCCAAGAAGTCATTATTTTTAATATTATTCAGAAATAATCTCCTTGGCGTCTATTCAAATCGTCACAAAATGCCACATCATTATAGTCCAAATTGGTGGTGATTTTCTGTGACATTTTCTGGTAACTCAGCACTTTAATCTTCCTAGAGGCAGACTGGAAGTATTTTGTTTGTTCCCTTTTACTTTTGCACCACCCCACCGCCTCCACCCCTACCCAAATCCCCCCAAAAAAGAGAGAATGATCCTTAGAAGAACCAGTGTGGTTTTAGTAGAGAGTGAGTAAGCTCAGGCTATTAATATAAAGTAGATTTTCTTAGCTGAATACATAAGGTAGATAAGATGGTTTCTGTAATGTGCCTTGGCCACCGGGGGCCTCTTTCGACAGCAGGACTTGAATTGATTGATAGTGACGGGCTGCAGATTAGGTAGTCTGGGTTGCTGACAATGTCTGGTGTTGATAAGAGTTGGAACAATGCTCAGATGTACTATTCTCAATTCGTATTAAAGGCAAGAGTGTAGGGAAAGTCCTTGTCCTTTTTCTTCTTCTCTGGCCAACAAGTATCTCCCCTGCCCTTGGCATAGTCCTCATGGTATTGGGAATGACATCTGTTGTTCGGTTCTAACGCAATAATTGTGCCAGTAAGATGGTCTTACATTGGTATTCAATCCTTTCTTTCATAGCCCGCACACCATTCAGACTTTGCTTATATGAAGCTGTGGGTTTATAAGCCTGCACTTCCTGACACACTTGCATTGAAATGTGAGTTTAACCCTAAGTGTAAAGATGGTAATTCCCACCCAGAAAGCATTTGGAAAAACAATAATCGCTATACTTTCTGAGCTACCAAGGGCCACAGAGCACCTCCAGTCACTTGCTGTTTCTGTACTGGACGGCCGTGGCTTTATCAGCCCTGCCATCCTGCTTCTAGTCTCTCGGGACAGTACCTAGATTTCCTGATCTTAGTGACTTTTTAAAAATTGTTGCTTGCCCTACCTGATTTGGCTGAGTGGATAGAGTGTTGGCCCGTGGACTGAAGGGTTGTGGGTTCGATTCCGGTCAAGGGCATGTACCTTGGTTGCAGGCTCTATCCCTGACCCCCAGTCAGGGTTCGTGCCGGAGGCAACCAATCGATGTGTCTCTCTGGCATTGATGTTTCTCTTTCTGTCTCTCCCGATCCCTTCTACTCTCTAATAATCAATAGAAAAATATCCTCAGGTGAGGATTAACAAAATAAAATAAAAATAAAAATTATTGTTGGCCCTGGCTGGTGTGGGTCAGTCAGCAGGAGTGTCATCCCATACACTGAAAGGTTCCGGGTTTGATTCCCAGCCTGGGCAAATGCCTAGGTTGTGGGTTCAGTCCAGTCAGGACCTGTGATTGGGGAGCATGTGGGAAGCTACCATTCAATGTTTCTCTTTCTCTCTCTTTCTCTTCCCCTTCCCCTCTAAAATGCAGTGAAAATCACTGCTTTTTGTTATGTTGCTGCTTTTGCTGAAAAATCACAGGAATCTTTAGTGGCCACCGAATGGCAGAATTTAAAAATAAGAGAACTCTGAGCTGAAATGGGTTATCAACCTTGAAACCAAATTTCCCAATTCAGTGACTGAGATTTATGTTAGCTTCAAGGACTTCAGGAAATCCTCCGTTAATGGGCCCTAAGAGATGAAGTAGTTTGTCTTGGGTGACCCAGCAAGTCAGTTACATATTCAGTTATTCATCCAAAACCCAAACCCCACAACGCAAGAAACTCTCAAGCCCCTAATCTGTGACACTGTCTCTGATGAACCAGCATTTTTGTTTTCCACGACTCCATTGTTCTACTTTCCCACGTGCAGGGTGGTTTGAGAGACATGGGTAGACAGATGACGGCCTGACTAGAACAGGAGAGAAATGGGCTGCTCCCACACTGTGGTATGTCCTGGTGTTTATTTTGGCAGTGTGTCATGCACAACTGTAAGAGAAAGGAAAACACTGATGTTAAAAGATCCTAATTTCCTCTGTGTTGCCTCTGTGTTGATTGGCGCCTGTTGAGTTTTCCTCTCATTAATTCCTTGAGTTCATTATCTTGGCACTGCCTTCCACACCGTAAACAAAGTTTCGCCTGACTTCTCAGTTAGGGCGGAAGACTCTTGTTAAGGATGTGATTGTCTTGGGAGATGAGCGAGAAAGAGGGAGAGTGTTTTATCTAGTTATATAGCAACAACCAATTAAGTGGTAATTTCTATTAAAAAGCACTATTTAAAGGGAAAGAAGTGTCTATCTAGAGAAAAGCTGTGTTTGTAGTTGTCTGATCTACAAGTGGCCTCTGCAAGGCCCACCAGAGTGTTAAGGGCATTCCTAGTGCTGACGTGATGCAAGAGTACAAGGATCCAATCCATGGGTGAATGTACTGCTTCACATAGCATGAAGGAAGTGATTTGTAGACATTTATACTTGCGGTCAGCTCAGCTTGCCTCTCACAGTAGTTGATTTTGTTTATTCTGGAAATGCCTCTCTCTCTACATCACACTTGCCTGACAAGAACTCCAGCCCTGGCTCATTCCATGCCCTCACCACCCAGCCAAGAGGGACTGGTCCTCCTCTAACTCCACAACCACAGATAACCCCAGGGCCTGCAGTGCACTGTGATGCTGAAGTCCTTGCACTCCCAAACCTGTCTCACGCTTGCTTGCAGCTGGTGGCTGCCTCACTTTTCACTTAGAAGACATAAGCCGTTTGAAATAGAACTTCCACATCTACCACCATGCCATCCACCCTCCTCCCAGCATCTCGGCCACTCTTCTCTGCCTCCTGCCCAGGTGCGCTCTCCACGGTCCTGCCTCAGATCATCTGGATTGATCTTACCTGCTCTTGCCTGCTCAGAGATATTAACTCCAACTATCTCCTTCCTACAAGTCCACTTTGCCCTCTCTCCTGGATTTTTCTCATCAACATATAAATCTGCTAAATCTCCTAGAATACAACTGAAACCTAAAAATACAAATGAAACAAACGTTCTTTCAAGTCTGTGCTTGCCCATCCTCCAGCTATAGCCCCTCCCTTTCTTTTACTTCCTTTATAGCCAACTTTTAAAAAGAGATGGAGTGTCCACTTCTCCCCCTATTCCCTTCTGAGCCTACTCCAGGCGGGCTTTGCCCACGCTGTGCGGGGGAGGAGACAGCTGTGATTGTGATAAGCTCCCATTGACTTCCCACCGCCCGAATCAAATGGTTAAGCCTCAGTCCTCATCTCACTCGACTTTCCATCTGCTTTTGATACAGTCAGTTGATTCTCATCCTTAAAACACTTTTTCTGTCTCCAGCCTCTAACGTTAGAAGCGTTCCAGGGCTCAATCCTTACGTAACTCCTTTTCTTCTCTATGTAACACTCATTCTCTGTGATAGCCGGTCTCATGGCCTAAAAAAACACCTACCGTGTGACAAGTGCAGCCCCGACCCTTCCCTGTTCTGAGACTCCTATGTACAGAGGACTACATATCCTCTACTTGGACATAGAATTTAGTGTGCCCCAAATCAAGCTAGTTTCTCCCTTATTCTGTTTTTTCCTGTAGTCTTCTCCAATCAATTAATGAAATCTCCCTTTCCAGTTACTCAGGCCAAGATCCTACAAATCACCCTCAACTTTTCTCACCCTCTGCTGTCCATACCCAACCCATCAGCAAATACTATCAGTCTGTCTGCAGAACATCTCCTCAATCCAAGTGTCTCGCCACCTGCACTGCCACCCCCGGGCCCAGGCTCCCGCCAGGCCGTGCCTGGGTTACTGCAGTGCTTCACTGGCTGTCCTGCTTCCACCTTCGCGTCTGTACAATCTGTTCTCAACAGAGCAGCCAGAATGATCCTATTGTAAGTCAGATCATGTCACTCCTCAGCTAACGTCGCATAATGAGAGGGAGAGAGGGAGAGAGGGAGAGGGAGAGGGAGAGAGAGAGAGAGAGAGAGAGAGAGAGAGAGAGAGAGAGAGAGAGAGAAGAGAGAAATCTTCTAACAGCCTCCGGGCCTGACATGAACTGGCCCCTCCTGGCCCGCCGCCGCCCCCCCCCCCCCCACCACCACCACCACCACCGTTCCCGTCACACTGGCTTCGCTGATCTCTCTCCACCCCATTGGCCACACCAGGAAGGCCTCTTCCCTGTGGGAGCAGGGCCCTCTCTCACTTCTCTGGCCTCTGCTCCAGCGTCACTTCTGCTCAACTCCGAAGGGCCCTCCTTTAGACTATACTTAATTTTTCTCCACAGCACTCACCACCATTTGACACCTCTTTGCCTGTTCATCCGTTCACTGTCTTCCCTCACTAGAATTCATCTCCCTATGGGCAGCTGCACTGTGTTTTCTGTCCTCTGCTATATCCATCCCCTGGCCCATTGCAAGCATTCGCATATTTATTGAATGAGTGAAATGCAATTAAAACTCTTGCTGTGAAATTGGAAACTCACATTAATTTAGTCTAAGCACACTGCATTTGGTTTTATCTCTCGTGGCACAAGTTAATGTTCCATTTTCCTTACCCACTGCTTCACACTGCTGAGCTGTGCCATGTAGTAGTGTAAGAACTGCGTTGTCTTTTCCCACATCACGTAAGAGCTGCCAAGAAAAGCTAAGTCCCAGATGGGTCTGAGCGAGGGATCAATATGTCCATGACTGTCTGAGAACACACACACACACAAAATTATATTAAGCATTTTGGGAACAAAACTTCAGAAATTTCAGCAATTAAATAAGGGCTTAGTCATATCAGTCATCTCTCTCACAGCAGGACCTTTAGCAATATTTGTTTCTTTCTACATCACACTGAGATTTACGTGCTTCGAGTCAAGTTGCTATAAGACAGTTTCATGGCTATGTGCTGTACTATATAAATACAAAAGAAGAGCTATAATGATACTCAGTTAATCTAACATCTTTTAGTTGAGAAGCCTTTCCTAATTAGATCAAAACATCTCTCAGTGATCTTCGCCCCCTAACCTGGTTTGGGGTCTACTGTCATCATAGTCATAGAAAGGTCTCTGCCGACCTGACTGATGTCTTTGTCCGTTTCTGATCAACGCATTGGCAACATTTCTATCACTTGTTAACACATCAATTGGGGTTTTTCCTGTGGCGTTGTTTTTGTACCTGCAGTCTTCTTAATTCAGCAAACATTTGCCAAAAAACTCTACTTAATATCAGACACCGCTAGAGGGAGGGATACAGTGATTACTAAAGGACCTCTTGTGACTTTTAGGAACTCACATTTTAGCAAGTAATTTGTGTGATAACTGTTCGTGGACTTGTGAGATGAAAACCCATTAGCAGAGAAGGTAAATTAGTTACACTGAACACAGTGACTAATGAGGGAATTTGAAAGTATAAATGCTGGTGGCCCTGCCCCAGAACCCAAAGGAGGACTTGACCTCAGTCCTTTCCTTCGCCTGTAGTATACTTGGGCTCGCCTAATAGAAGCTTATGAACTCATTAGAAAAGGTGACATTTTCACACATAGTAGAGTCCAGACAACTCTTTTAGGGGGAAGCAATGTGGAGCAAGGATGCCCTGAAGTGGATTTGATGGTCTCACATCAATGGTAGAGAGACTGCCCTATGATGGCCCAGAACCGTGGGCGGATTAACTGCTCAGGAGAATCCGCTGAGATTGGAACTGGCTACTCCACGGATATCTCCATGGTTTTTACTCACTTCGTCTAAAGCCAAACTCCTTTTTTCCGTTCTAAGTAGATAATTTTATATACATGGACAGGCTGTAAACAGCACCATTAAATGTCTCTGCTGAATTGAAAGTGACAAGAGAACTTGTAAATTTTGTGGATGAGAGGTACATTCTATTAAAAAAAATTTTTTGATGCTTCATAGTAGCCACATTGAGTTGGCTTGTTATCGAACGACCCTTGTGGGCATACAGGCTTTATTAACTGAACAAGAACCAATTAACCTGCACTACTAACAAGTGTCCAAAATCTAGTGATATTGTGGCAAATCTTCAAAGAAGAGGTCCTATACATTTTCTAAAATTTGTGTTTTAAGGAGGATATATAAAACCCCATTTCCCCAACTGATGCCAAGGGGAGAAGAAAAATCCCTAAATAACTATATAAAGTATTTGCCATTAGGCCATATATTTCAGGCAGTGCTAAATATAAGCAAATTCTATAACATGGGATTTGAGTTGCTCCTCACAATTATTTGGAACATGGTTTCATCTAAGTCGTCAGAGAGCTACAATAAGAGTTATCTGAGCTTCTGAACTTGAGGAACGCGAGGGTCCGAGCCCACCTCGGGTTTTAAGAACATTGACGGGGCACAGACAGCTCAGGAATGGAGACCATGGGCCCCCACATTGAGGCGGATCTGTCCCGGTCTCTGAGCGAACAAGTGAGCTGTGACAGGCGGTGGGAAGGGAAGTGCTGCAGCACTGGTCAGATGTCAAGCTTAATACCCCAGTGCAGATCCAGAGGTGACTCTTGTGGTTTGGAAATTGAATTTGCCGGTAAGAGCTGAGCGTCCATGCTGCCCGCACCCTGCTGAGTGCCAGAACAGATGGGCTCTGCTCCACTCCGCTGAGTCACTCAGGGCAGAGGGCAAGTCTCTTATTAGAGATGGCACCGCTGCCCATTAGCTCTCGCTCTAAAATAAGATCAACTCGACTCCTCTGCGGGCCCCCAAGAAGGCCCTCGACAGTCGGCTCGCTCAGCCCTGGGGCGGATGGCCGCGATGGGCACAGTGCAGGCCCTGGATGGGGTCACCTCGAGTTTCCAAAGCAACCATCAGAAACTGCTAGCAATGTCACTTCAGGCTCTACTCTCCCCGGAAAAGTGCACCCCTACATGTGTGTCCTGTTGCAAAGACGTCTACCCATTCCTTGGAGAGGCACCTCTTGCCTTGCCCAGGTCCTGGAGAGCACAGATCCTACATTGTACTGGAGGTGAAGAACAGGAAAATGTACTTCTGAGTTTTGTTTATATAACAAGTTTTGTTTAAATGCCACATTTTATAGTTGGATTAAAGTGCCATTTGGGGGATAAAAACTTAAATGATCATTCTTTTTTAAGACTTCATAATTTTATGCATTCCTGGACAGAGACATTCCAGATCAGCTGGTCCATACCAGGTATGCTGATGACATCCAAGGGGTCTTTGAGCTGCTTCATGTGCTTGTAGAGCAGGTAATCCTCTTGTTGTCTTTTGCTCTTCTCCATGAACCGTGTACAGGTGACATTGATGGTGGGCCTGGGTTTCTCATTCTTGAAAAACACTTGAGCGGAACATTTCCCCAAACGTTCCTCGCCTTCCTGAAATAAAGAGTTTGGAATTAAATAGCTTGGTTCCTTCTCCCCACCACCCCAGTACACAAACACACAAAACTGAGAAGTTCCTTGTACATGGCAGGTATCACTGGCTCAACAGATGTAGTGGCCTTTGCTTTATAGAAAGTGATTTTTGTGCTCATAGCTGAACACAATTGTCCTTCATTCTTTGCTGTCATTTAAACTCCTGCTTTCTGCCTGGCTGGTGTGGCTCAGTGGTTGAGAGTCGACCCAGGAACCAAGAGCTTGCCCGTTCAATTCTGGGTCGGAGCACATGCCCAGGTTTCAGGCTTGATCCCCAGTAAGGGGCATGCAGAAGGCAGCCGATAGATGATGTTTCTTTCTCATGGATGTTTCTATCTATCCCTCTTCCTCTCTCTAAAAATCCATTAAAAAAAATGATTCTCTTACAAAACAACGCTGGGCCTGTCCCAGAGAAACACCACCCATGCCGGTGAGTACTGCCTGCTCAAGCCTGGAGGAGAGCGGGCGCTTTACTCTGCTGTGGACCAACATGTCGAGCTGGATCTCCAGCTTTCTTTCTAACTGGAACCCGAAGGTGAAGCTGGTTCCTATGAATAAAAATGGCCACATCTTCATGCTGCCCTATGAACTCGGTCTTGTTCCAATTTTACAGATGAAGATACCGCAGTTTAAAGAGGAAGCTACTGCATGTCACGCCAGGAAGTGGTGAGCCACGGCTCCAGCTCATGTCTGTCTTGTAAAGCCCTGGCTCTGTACTAACTCCATGTCCATTCACATCTAATGCAGATGCAGTGGAGGCAGAAGTCACCCAATGGGACTAATCCGACTACCCGGGTGACCTAGCTGTGCCTGCCTGCATTCACATGTCAACGTGCACGTGCTGAGCATTCTGGGATCTCCCCAATGCTCCACCCAGAGACAGCTGGGGCGGGAGAGGGGGTGCTTCAAGGGCACTCGGGCGTCTGACTCATTTCACCCTTTTGCAAAGGTCACACAGTCCATAACCCCACATCGAAAGCCAGGGAGCCTAGTCCCAGAAAAATCCCAACTACACAGCCTGGAATTTGAGGAAGTTCCCAGGCCTCTAGCCATGGCCCCACTCACACCCATTCGTGGGCCCCTGTCACAATGTGGTTGGTTAAGCTGTTGAATTCTTTTCACGTTTTCAGTCCTTTAAACTGGTGGAGTTTCAAATGTCAACAACAACCAAAAATAAACTTAAAAAGAAAAAAGCCCCCAAGGAAACAAACTGTTATTAAAATGGGATCTGCTTATGGGCTTCCAGCGGACAACTGTTCCTCCATGAGCTGTGAACCAGAGGAGATGCCCGTGGTGCATGAAAATCCTGATAAATAGTGAGTGCAACGTGGAGAAAGAGGTGGCGGGCGTCAGGAAGAGGATTACCAAAGGCAGAACCAGGCCGGCACACAGTCTGCTTTGATGTCAAAGCCATTTCCAAGGAAGAGAGAAAACCAGGTATCGCCCCTTTTTGTTTTCCCCTCCTCTCTCTACCCCCCAGAACAGTGCCACAGAATCAAAGCCGTTGTCTGGAGATGAAAGACTCCTCACCCCCTGACATGGACACTTCAATTAGCGAGCTGTGCTCGTCAGAGACACATATTGTTGATCAAAAATAATCTAGTAATTGTTCCCCTTTAGCTTTAATCCAATGCTTTCAGTTTGCAGCTCTAGAAATGAAAGGCATCTTCCTTAAGCTTTAAGAAACATTTTAATTCTTAGGTTAATTAGCAACGTGAGAGTATATTGTTGTCTTGTTAGGGCTTGTTTCTGAATACTGGCAGCGTTGTTCCAGAAGCATCGGGCTGGGGGGTCACGGCTGTCCCCCCTGACCCCCAGCTCTGCCACCCAAGACCTTTCAGTGCTGGCCCCCTCCTGCTCTTCCCTGGCTGCTTCCATTCAGCACCACGGAGAGGGGATTTTGGCCTCCACCCTGCTGCTGCCTCCCAGCCTCGCCCAGCGCATGGAGGTTCGTCTGGTCTAGTTACTGTATGTTCTCTGTTTACTCTCTTCTTGGGAACAGGGAAAAGGGAATTGGCAAACCCTGGGTGCCTGGTCAGATGTAGGGGCTACTGACGCCTGTGGCGAGCACCGGTCCCGCGTGTGTCTCACAGAAAGCCTCCATGTAAGGCAGCTTCTGGAGCTGGCCCGCGCTCTGCCGCTCTGCTAACGAGAAATGTCACCAGCTGACGGGCAGAGGAACAGGTTGGCATTTGAGAGTGAGTCATTCGGAGGCCTCTGAGGTGCTAGGGAGGGGTACCAGAGGGAGCTGTGAAACTCCCTCCCGGGCCGAGGAAGGAGGGTGATGCTGTGTGGACTGCTGTGCACGCAGCCCCCCAGAAGGCCGTGACGTGGCAGGAGTGGAATCGAGGTCCTGCCTAGCTCTGCTCCTCCGTTCTTGAAAACAAAGGCAGAAAAAAACCCACCTCTACGTCACTATATATTAGTATTCTTACTCAGAAAAATAAATTCATACGAGTTGCTAATAAGATACCAGTTCGGATAGAGTATCGGCCCCAAGGACTGAAGCATCCCCGGTTTGATTCCAGTCAAGGGCATGTACTTGGGGGGGTGGGGGTGGCGGTTCAATCCCCAGCCCTGGTCGGCCTGTGTAGGGGGCAACCAATTGATGTGTCTCTTTCACATCAATGTTTCTCTCTCTCTCTCTCTCCTGCCCCCCTCCCCCCCACTCTAATAAGCAATGGAAAAATATCCTCGGGTGAGGATGAACAACAACAACAAAAAGACTCCATGAATGACAGCAGCTTACCTCCGGGTTGTAGTGCTCTGTGGTGAACTCCAGGTCAACTTGACATTCCTTCTTTGAATTAATCTGAAATATAGAAACTGACTCTTAGCCGGTGGAAGCTCTGCTAACATCTGCATACCCCAAACTCACACTCCTGGGATAACATGGCACAGAAATGGTTGCTGTCACAGTCGTACCTGAATAATATCGGTGTTTTTTAGGAGAAAAGATCTCGTATTTTGGTCTGATCATGCCATGTTGCCTACTAGCTGACACCCACTCACAAGAGGGAGGATGAGAAAGGGAACAGTTGCATGGAGGCTGGAGGCTGGCTGTATGAGAGCAGCTGCAAGCGAGTAGATGTGCGTGCAGGGCTGTGGAGGGAGGACCTTCGTCCCCCACCTCAGTGCCCGTCCACGCCCTGTCCTGGGCCCAGGGCTGCCACTGAGGGAGACGGACCCGCTCTCCCTCCTCTGCTCCTGGTCAAACAGGTGTACCCAGTAATAAATAATGGTTTTCAGATGGTGATAACCGAAGAAATGGAGTGGTGGGGGCAGAGTGACTACTTTTACTATTACGAGGTGGTGTGGAGGAGAGGCTGTTCCATGGCACAACCATTGCCAGACCAACGAGCTAGATCAGGGCCAGAACAGAGATTGTCTCCCTAAATCCCTCAGAGACCGTCTGATGGACCCTCTCCCTGTGCCCCCCCCCCCCCCCCCCCCCCGTGTGCTGGTCCCTGCCACGGGGCAAGCAGGTAAAGCAGTTTCCGTTCTCTGACGCCGGCACCCCACCCGTCCTGCCCTGCTCCATATAATTCTTTAGGCCCAAGATTTGCCTCGAATGTAAATTTCCCTTAACAGACTTAACTGGCAGACTGGAGTGGCCTGCCCTTTCTTCAGTGTTTCCCAGCCTTCCTTACAGAGGTAGGTTTTCCGTCTCAGGGCTTTTCCCGGTGTTTGTGTATACCAACAGGTGGTTGAGGAAGGTGTCTGGGAGGAGATGATACATCAGCTTCGATCCAGGGGACAGTAGGGAGCCAGCCACACCCATACTCAGGTGTGGCAGAGGGAGCTACCAGTGGGTCGGAGGTGGGAAGGATGAATTACCGCCATTGGACCAGACCTCAGCTGTTAGGGCCTCTCCTTCTCTTGCAGCTTCCACAAGCAGACATACTTCTATGCTTTGGACATGCATGTTGAGCCTTTTTAAACTTTTGAATTGATCCCAATGCATAGTTTTAGAGTATATATGCCCAGACCATTAAAGCAATTTAAACTGTTTAGGAGACCTTTATATTGTTTGCCATCATCTTTTTTTTCTTTTCTTTTTTCTTTTCAGAGAGCTGCCTCCTGCATGCCCCACACTAGGGATCAAGCCCACAAGCCGGGCATGTGCCCTCACCAGGAATCAAATTGTGACCTCCTGGTTCATAGGTTGATGCTCAACCACTGAGCCATGCCGGCCGGACACAATCATCTATTTTTGTTTCTATCATTTTTTAGTGCGAAATAATCATTCAGTAAAAGGAGAATTTTCTAGAGAAGAGAGAAGTTTGTGCTTCGTGGAGCTGAGGTTATTTCACATAATCCCGATTAAGTTAATTCTGGAAACATCCATTTCCTTTGGCTCATCCCAGGAAGATAATAACCAATCAGGGTTATCTTATCTTAACGAGACCAGATAGCATCCCTTACTGTTGTAGTTTCTTAAAAGATCCCGGGAAACTGGAGAATGGAGGGGTAGGATCCTGTGGCAGGCATTTGTGTAAAGAACATGTAAACACATGAGTGTATCCATCAATGTTTCTGGGGGGAGGGGAGCACGCAGCGCCCAGGAGTAATTTGCTTAGGACTCATTTTCAGTCTTAAAACAAGTTCCAGTGTAAACGGAAACATTTTTACCTCAGTTTACAAAATTCATAAACATCTGTCTTCTCACTCATTCGCTGTTTGCTTGCTCCTGTGGCAGGCACCCAGGAGATGTAACATCCAGGCCAGTCTTACCAGTACAGTGGGGCCTTGACTTACGAGTGTCCCGACTAACGAGTTTTTTGAGATACCAGCTGTCTCTCCGCGGATTTTTTGCATTGAGTTGATAAAGTAATTTGAGTTAACGAGCTCCTTAACGAGCTCGGTCTCCGAACGAATTAAACTCCTAAGTCAAGGCCCCACTGTACCTGCTTCTTGAGTGGGCACGTGGTGTAGCTAGCTCATCAGTGTGGCCGAGGGCAGCCTACAAGCAGGCTTTCTAGGGCAGGTGAGGCCTCAACTAATTCTCTGAGAAGCAGGTGCTGGCTAGGCAAAGCAGGTGCTGGCTAGGCAAAGGCGTGGGAATGGAGTTGAGGGTGAAAATGGGGTTCTACGGAAGTAACTTCACAGGGAGATCTCATCATAAATTCCTAACTGGGCAGGTCATGCGCCAGGCCTGTCACTTCTTTAGTGAAAGGTTTTAAGCCATTTAAGGTGTGCATCTAGGTTAACACACCTTTGAGATGCCAGAAGCAATACCCCTTGAAGGGGATAATACCCCTCGAAGGGGATACTACCCCTCGAAGGGGATACTACACAGGAGTCAGGGATGCCCCTCAGGCTGCTAGTGGGGTGAGTGGGGTCAGGGCCGTTCCTGAGAAGAGGAGGAGGAAGCCGAGTTGGCAGGTGCAATCTTTGATGCAGGGGGACATCGCAGCCGCCCCGGAGGCAGCTGAGTGTGTAGAAGTAGATTCAAGAAGAGCCACTGAATCTGATGCCATCGCCCAGGGAAGACGTGCACAGGGAGAACTCTGAGGACCAGTGATGGTCGCCTCAGGATTAAATGGCTCCCTCACTTGAGGACTCGCAGTGGCGACAAGCAAGATCTGGTCAGACATTCCTGACTGGGCAGGTCATGGTGAGGACCCGCCCCAGGCACGTAACATTTTTAGCAAAAGGCTTATCTTTGCACGGCTTTTTGGAAGCACCAGGAAGCGAGGAGGGATGTGTATCCTGTGTGGGGGAGACCGGGTGGCGGCGGAGCCTGCGAGCTATTTGCCTCGCCGATTTGATTTCCTGACTTTGTTTTAATTAGGCTTCTTAAAAGCGTCTACATTTTGTTCAAAATAAGATGTTTATATTTTTGATGGTACTTTGTCACTTATCAGGATGCAGCCCTTTTATCTCCCCCTGAGGCCTCTCCTCTCTCCCTTCCTCTGAGTCACAAGTTCCCCAGAGGCTGCTTGGCTGATCTCCTGAGATAAATGGCATCTCCGCCTCGGCCTTCGGGCCTTCATCAGGGACACTGTCTGTGCAAGTGTCTCCTGCTCCCGTTTCTTTAGGATTGAGCTCCGTGTGGGTTAAAGTTATTCTGCCATAAAGAGGTCTTTGTTGTCCAACATCCGCCCTAGGATGTGTTGGGTGTCTCCCTGTTGGGAGCCTGTGCGAGGTGCAGAGTCCAGGGAACACAACGGAAAGCCCTGCCCCTGGGCAGTGAGGTCCAGAGAGGACTTAGGGCCCATCACTGTGGAATCTGACTGTGGGTGATGGAAGAGCTCTGAACGCTCGGTCCCCGGAGAACTGACCCAGCCTCGGGATGGGGACGTGAGCTGAACTTTTGAGCTGAACACTGAAGATGAAAAAGGCATTGCCTCGGGGGCTGGGAGCTGGGGCTGCGGGAGGGGAGCTGGGAAATCAGTCATCACAGAAGGAGCAGATGGCTGAAGGCGGGAGGAGCAGCCAGGGGGCCAAGGACGGGCTCAGGAAGAGGCAGGAGCGGCCCCTGCAGGCTCCGCGAGGGTTTATGCTTAGAGAGATGGAAAGCCCGGGGCGGGAAGGAAGCATTGTGAAAAGACCCCTCTGGATGGAAGGCGAGAGCTGGTGGTGCAGGGACTGCAGGGGCCAGGTGACCAAGGTGAACCAAGGTGGGGACTGGAAATGAACAGAAGCATGTGGTGGGCAGACAGGAGTCTTACTAGGATGTAAACACAAACAGTTTCGTAATTCAAGATCAGAAATGATCGCTAGAATGCACGTTTCCTATCAGGACATTATTAAACCAACCACATTTAAAGGATGCTTGTATTACAGAAGGCCAGCCAGCCAGCCAGCCAGCCAGCCTGCCGGGCCAGAGGGGACCACCGTGAGCACTATACGGGTCTCTATGCCAAAAGCTCTGAAGGCCAGCTCAGTCCCATGAGCAACTGGAGAAATGCAATGAAGGAAGCAGTGAGGAGCAGACTGCAATGATTTAGAAAGTGGATAGGGCCAGTCGTTTGCCAGAATGGAGGAGATTGCTCCTGCGTGGCTGGTGGGAGGGTGCCCAGAGGCAGCCTGAGGGTGGGGGGGCGGGGCGCAGTCTGGCCCACTGGGTCAAATCTAGTTACCTACACCCTACGAATTGGCTACTCCACTTCTGGTTATGTCTCCATGGAAACTGGCACAGGGCCTCCTATGGGCCTCACAGGAGGATGCTCCTGGAGGCAATGTGTGTGTGGTGGGAAGGTGGAGGCAATCTGGTGTCCCCTCCTGGGGGCAGGGGAGGGCAGGTAAACTGGGGTGCCTGCCATGGAGTGCCATGCAAACTAGCCACACATATGGTAACACAGGTAGACCCTAAATGCTGTGCTTGAAAACGGAAACAACAAAATGCATGGCATACATATCACGTACAAACATCTTTTAAATTAAAGTTTGCACACAAACCAACAATATCTTTTCTAAGAGCACTTACAGACAGAATAATACACATAAGAACGTTTCTAGTGGTTGCCTCTGGGAGGTTGGGATGAACGAAAAGAGGCACGAAAGAATAAATACACCAACACAAACGGAAACAAAAAGTTGCTCCCTCCACTTTGTACCTGGACCACAAGCACACCACCAGGCTTTAAAAAAAGATAGAACGTCCCCGACCTGCGTGGCTCAGCGGTTGAGCGTGGGCCTATGAACCAGGAGATCCCAGTCGGGCACATGTCTGGGTTGTGGGTTTGATCCCCAGTGTGGGATGTGCAGGAAGGAGGCAGCCGATCAATGATTCTCTCTCATCATTGATGTTTCTCTCTCTCTCTCCCTGTCCCCCTCCCTTCCTCTCTCTGAAGTCAATAAAAATAT